GTATGAAGGGAGCCATTAGGGTTTAGTTTTGGGTATTATGAAAAGTGTATTCTCTTTCTAGTTTCCTTCTTGTTCTTTTCTAGGGTTTTCTTGTGGGAGATCTTGTCCTTCTCGAAGTGGACAAACTTATCTTGTTTTCTCTTGGATTTATAATGCAAAGGTTCTTATTTCTCATCCCAACAATCTTGTGATTATTTCTCTTTGGTTTTGGTGGAGAACTTCCTCTCTTTTGGGGGAAATTAGGGCAAAACCGAAATTGTGAAACCCTAGGGCGTATCATAATCTCAACAATTGGGAAATGAACTTTACTTCATGAAATTTTTTGTTTTGTAATCCTTCACAAGGTATATGTTAGACCCATGGTAGAACAAAATAGAAGGATGATTAGATTATTCTATATATACAAACATTTCAAGTGAACATTTTTCTTCTCTCAACCATAAGCCATTGCAATCATATGGAGTTGCATTATGACAAGCGCTCCTGTGCTCCTTCATTTCATGATTGGAATTCTAATTCAATGCAATCTTTATTGGAATATTTGTTTTTCTCATAATTAGCTTAAATGAACATTGTTAGCACCCCACATAAGGGCTCCTTTCTCCGCTCGGCTTATTTAGGAGTTCTTATGATGGTCAAGTTAGTGACTTGGTGTTATCATTTGAATTCGATTAGCATGTTACATGCACCTTCTAATTTCTTATGATTACTCATTTATTGATATAAAATACTTGAATTTTAGAACTCGTAGTAGGATGAGAGATTATTTGCATGACCATGATTTGGCTGTGGTTTCTTGACATGCATTGCATGCAGTTTGGGGTAAGAAATCAGTTGGTTTTAACATATAAAGATGGGTTTGCCTGGGCTTAAGGAATGATAACTATAATGAGGTGGTAGTAATGAAGGGGAGATATGGCATCCATCTAATGCTCTATGAGATTGATAAAGCGCTCAAATATGGTAGCGGGGGCTGTTTTGGAGACGAATGTCAGGCTTGGGGTAGTAGGAGATATGAATATGAAGGAAGTGATCATTTCTTTAGTCACTTGAGAGTTCTTAGTTGAAATTAATCCCTTCTTCCTTTCAATGCTTTAGGCTGATCTATGAGATCATAAGGCTGTGAACCTATGAGATTGAATCTTAAAGAGGAGAAATCTATTCTTAGGATTAATGAGGAGGAATTTTAAAGTTAAAAATAAACTCCAAAGGCTCATAAAGGTTGGAAGGTGACTTTTGGGATTGTCGAGAAGTACTACTAGAAGTTGGAAGTCCACTCATGGAATTTGGAGGAATCCTAAGATTGGATGTCAACTCCTTGAATCTATAGAGAATTGATTAGAAAGTTAGAGATTTTTCTTAGATTTTCAAAACTCTCTTTAGATGCCAAGAGAAGGAAGAATAAAAAATAAATAACATGAAATCTATTTATAAATTTTTGTCATGGACTATTTCAGATTTTTATCTAGAATTAGCATCAAAGATTTCATAAACTTCTTGGTTGAATTGTTCAAAATAATTGATTTAGGATTGCCCTATGCTATTCTCATAGTTACTCAAACCTAACTTAGATATGCATGTTCATTGGTAGTGACAGTTCTTCATTTGTGTCATAGAAAATCACTATCATGGAGGGAAGGTCACTAAAGGATGATTAAAACTTATGGTGTGATTCTCGAAAGCATTGTCAGGTAATTTTTATAATAATGATCAATTCCATACCACACATTCTCCTCATTATCCCATAACCCAATACATATTCTTGAAAAAAATTCTCCTATACATAAAGCCTGCATTACAAATATTAGCTCTAGCACTATTAAAATTCCATAAATCCTATTTGAGGCATTAAAAGGATGACTTAAGAGAAGAGATGAATGACTTGGAAAAACACCATGGAATTCGAGCTACCATAAGGGACAATTTTGTAGGATACAACGAGTTTTCTCATTAAAATGTAAATCAAATGGAAATCAGGAATGGTATAAAGCTTAGTAGCAAAAGGATAACTCAATCCTATAGAATAGACTATTAACATTTGCAAATCTCTTTGAATGCTAATCATGGATGGTTCATACAACAATATGATGTGAAAAATACTTTCTTATATGGGGATGTTAAAGAAGAAGTTTATGTAGATCATCCGCTAGGAATCAATAGCTCTTTCATAAAAAAAATAAAGTGTGCATATTAAAAAATGTGTTCTATAGTTTTAAATAATTCCGAAGGGCCACGGGAATCACATGCTCCTCATAAAATATTTCACTGATAAAAAAAAAAATTCTTATTGTGTGTATTGATAATATAATCGTAATAGGTGATGAGTATGAAGAAAAA